GGAAGAGTGTTTCAGAACATCACTGATCTCATTCTTGAAATTTGTTCACCAATGGTTTTTCTCTTCATGTCAGCTTCGTTCAACTCAACTAGCTCTTCTCTCTCTCAAGGGTTTATTCCCTTCTGTGTTTAAAAGCAGTGGACGTGTTTTCTTCTAGGCCTTATTTTTCCTAGACTAAATAAACCAAGGGTTTCTTTCTCTTGTTTTATAAAAGAAAACAATTTTCATGTATTATTACTTCTGATTAGTCATCCACTGGTTTGTGCACTTCACAAGAATTTTTTTTTGGTAGGAACTTAGTCTACTGGGTTTGAAACTCTGAACTCCCTTGCCAAAGCTTCAGCAGAATTTAATCAGCACAGGGCTTATATGTTTTAGTGGCTTTGGAATTTCACGGTCAATGTTTTTGTTGGTGGGAACCCGAAACGGAAAGCAAATCTTGGTTATTATGAATCCACTAAGTCCAATATTGGAAAGGAACATTGTTTTGCATAGTGGTGTGATTCTAACAGCATGTCTACATGTCTCCACCCCGTTGGGTTTGTTAGCTGAGGTCTGATATTGCTCTGCTGCTTCCAGCTTCTGTGTGGGAATGGCCATACAGGAGCAGCTCAAGTACACACCGAGCAAACTCCAGGCTCTTTGCAGAGGTGGACTCAAATCTGATAAGTTTTATGGTTTCTGTGTCTTAGTAGCAAATCCAGCCAGCACACCACAAAAAGGATTTATGTCCTAAAATACATTCAAGGCAGGAGGAACTGGGGCATGCCTCTGCCGTGCTGCTAATGGCCAGCATAGGACTGATTTCAGGAGGACTTCTCCGCCGTCAGACACAGGCCAGCACTCCTGCTGCAAAAAGCAGATGCCTTGCAAAAGCTCTATGTAAACATCATCATTGCTCGTGAACAGCTGCCGAAATATGCCCGAGAGTTCTGCAGTCTTTCTGTTTTATTGACATAGCCATGAAGCTCTGGAAGCTCTGATTTTAGGGTAATAATACTTGGACTGGTTTTCTGTGAACTGATGTAACTAGAAGTGAGTTAATAAATATTCCACAATAAGTAAGTATTCAGCAATAATAGAAATAACCAGTTTTCTGTTACATTCTGTTCCCAAGCTTCATGCAACACTTTCCATAGTTAATTGTGCTGTGCTGTTGAGATACTTCACTGCAAAACAACTTCCAGTTTTTAAGAATGCTTATTTTCTTCTGAAGTTACATGGTTTACAGAAATAGATAGTAGCCTTATTAAATTTATTTTTTATAAAATAATAGCAACACTTTAATTTTTGGTTTAGGAATAAAAATTCTAGACATTTTACATTTCTAGACTGTATCGAGGAGAAGATCTTCCAAGATGAAGAGAGAGGAATGCACATGGATGCTCAAGTTAGCAGTGCTTATGTGGGCTATAAAACAAAATTTATGCTTGAGTGTAAGAGTAGATCTTGTTGCAGCCCCAGAAGAGTGCAGTCTGAGTTGGGGGTCTGTGGGGCTCGCTTGCCCACGTGGGGACCATGTGTGATTCCTGTCCATTGCATTCAGGCTGGTGCTGATGGTGGAGCACGCTGCTTCTCCTCCCTTTTGAAGTCCATGGCATTTTAACTCCCCCAGGTCTCCACAGGCACGTGTATTGCAACTGTTGGCATTCCACTTATGGGAACGAGTGAATCAAACTCTTCTCATGTCAGACTCGTAAGATTAATTCAAAAGTGATTTTTCAGTTTGTTGGAATACTATACAAAGGGTTTTGTGGCCAATCTGAAAATAGCATCCTGTTTAGTGTGTTTATTTTCCTGGGTCAAGAGTCTTGTAAGATAGAATGGTCTGCTAAAGATCTTTTAATGGTTTCTAAATTTGCCTAGTCTGATTTATTTTCTTTATAAATGTTTAAAAGATGCAGTGGGAAAATGTGAGAATGAATACAAATATTATTGGTCTAGGGTCTGCAGAATTAGGTACTATCCCTAAATATAGTCTTTACATTTTCAAAAGACTTGCTGTCAAATTGTGATTGTCAGATTTTAAAACCACCTTTCTAAGAGGGCAGTTGGGGAATTCACTTAGAAACGATTAGTGAAAAAACTGAAAGGAATTCAGGAAGTGGTTTTTATTGCAAATATTTCTACATGTCTATGTACTCCTTTTCCACAAAAATAAAGAATTGTTTTTTTTTCCCAGTATCATTTCTGTAAACAGTAATTAGTTTCCAGGTAATTGTGGAGGTTACCTTGCCCACTCTGGCTGTGCCACCCAGCTGGGGGAGCTCAGAGAGTCGCAGGCTGGGACAGGGACATGAGAAAGCACCTGGGCTGGAGCAGAGATGCTGCAGTACAAAATGTTTTCCCAACACCATGTCCTCTCCTTCCTCCTCCAGATAGTCCTCCTTTCTCCCCTTTCTTTTTCCCTTCTTCCTTCTCCCCTTCCCTGGGGACATTTCCAACACCTGATATCCACTGAGGAGGTGTCGCTGTGGTTCAGAAGAGGTGAAAGCTGGGTCTGGGTTACACTTCACAGAAAACCAAAACGAGTTGTTTGTGCCTGTCTGACAAAGCTCAGGACCTGGGAAGGATAATGGCAATTTACCAAGGGTTCTATGGTGGTGTGATCAGCAGAAAAAGGGGTAGCCACATCCAGCCATGTAGAGTCAAATAAATCAGTTCTCACTTTCCCCATATCATCATTCATCTGGGAAGATGCCAGTCTCTGTTTTAAGGCTGAAGAGTTTCCATCAGTCTTGCTGCGCTCCAGAGTCCGAAGTGGTGGGGGGTTTGTGCCTATCTGTGTGTGTCAGAAGGTGGGAGCGAGAACACCACAGGGCAGATGGAGGCAAGGACAACTGAGGGAATGGGAAGAGACACTTTTTTTACCTTGTGCAAACACCTGGCAAGGGGAAGAGAAGTGAATGCAGATGTATGTCTGTGCACAGCTGTAAAAAGCACATCTGTCAGCTTCTGCTTAAGAAATGTGATGTGATGCTTGAGAGAGATTCGTTTCAATCACTGCTGCTTTTCGAGTGTGGTAGCTGCCATTTGGAAATGAGTTGAAGTTGCCTACCTGAGGACAGGAGGTGCTTTGTTGTTACTGCAACTTTGAGTGATATGAAACAAACCAAAAAAGAGGCTGTGTGCTCTAGAGCATGTTGCTGTAATCAATCTAGAAAAAAAGTAGTAGCGTTTTGCAATGAAGCTGTTACTGTTTATGTGCATATGCTAATGGATGACTTGCCAGAATCTAGTGAAATTCAGGCAATTTTCACCTTTTTTTTAACAAGAAAAAACATTAAATATTAATGCAATGACTTTTCAGTCTGAAGCAATCCAGTAACATCATATGAAATAAGATCAATGCCGATATTAATTACACTTTTTAAGATCCTAGAGGAGCCTTTTGCTCTTTTTATGTCAGATGCTTGCATGCAGCAGTTGAAGAGGAGGCTCCCACTAGAACTTTCTTCTTACCATCCATGTTTTGGAGGAAGAGGATGAAATCACCATTGTATAGTGCTGTAAGGTGGTCGGGATGCATTTCCTGAAACCAAAAAGAAGGTTAAAGGGAAAATGAAGTTCAACACAAGCAATACTTTACTCTTGTTAATGTCTGTGTCAATAAGTAAAGATTTAACCACACATTTACAGAGGACTCTGTAAACACAGTGCTTTTTTACCATGTACAATTATTTTAGCTGTCTAATCAGTAGATAAGGCTCTATTATTTTGCGATATGTTTATTAATCATTTAATCCTTTTTATTCTTGAAATTGCAGAAAATATGTTTTGGGGGTTTTTTTTAATGAGGAATATTGTTCTCTGGAGAGTTTTTCCCTATCCCTTTAACTCTACCCAATCTTTTTCTAATGGTAGAGCTGAAAACTTGCTGTTCAAAGTAATTTTTCATATGTTGTTTATATGAACTTACATTGCTTTATGTACTTCAGTCAAAGTAAGTAGCTGTGCCAATTAAAGACACAGTCCTATTTATCTTCTGCTTTCTCTGAAGCAGGCAGTCATAGGGGTATACCAGGTTCTTCTTGTCTCCTTTCTCCCAGGGAGTTCTGGCTTCTTGGTGGCTGATAGTTTTGAGAAGAAGCAACACTTCTCATAGAGAGTCTTTTCCCATGAGAAAATACTAGGCTTCTGTGCACAGGATTTCCAAAGTAAATGGCATCTGTCCAGCTATCTAAACTAGGCTGAACTATCTAAAAAATTTAATTAGTTTGCCCATCCTGTTTTCTCTTATTTTCACTTTGATTTAACAAACTTTTGAAACCTTTCAGGCTCATCTGTACCAATATTTCTATTTACACAGTCCTCAAAGCTCTTTCGAAATGCGTATTTCACATTTTTGTTAGGATGTTGTTGTTGATGTTACCACAGTAAAAGACTACGGCTCTTCACTCATTCCTAAAGCAGATCCTCATTGTGCAAATTACTAAACGAAGGTGCAGACAGATAAGAGAAAGTGACAAAGCAGAAGACAGGAGTCATTATCTTAAGAAAGAAATAGAATAATAGCTCAGTCCTAAGAATATTTCCAAATTAAAACTTCTACAACTAGGTAGGTTGTCGACTTTTCTCAGTCTCCTTAATGCAATTCAAGTGGCCCAAGAGCTTTTGTGCATCTTGTGAGAGTGACTGGAGTCCAACTTTTATTTGATCTAATAGATAATTCACCAGTGGTTAATTTTTCCACAGTTTGTCGAAGGTTTGTGGATTTAACTTTCTCAATTAGCTCTTCCCAGTAGAGTTTCACCTACTTAAGTAGTGTGCTTTGTGAGACACTGCACATGCTGATGTAATACTGTTCTTTAGTCTTCAAAGGTATTTACCAACATGGAGATGGGTTTCATGGCAGTGACTCCAATGCTTCCACTTAATTATTTCACCTCAATTAGTCCATGACCTTTGTTAGACAACCGCAACACACTTCTGCATTTTATTTATTCATAGTTACACACTTCCATGTTTTCCAGGTTGCGCTTGCATCTGTGCTGCTGTCCCTTGTTCAGGTGGTTAAAGAGACTGAGATTGCTTACCTAAATCTTTCCCCCTCTGCTTTAATGTATTTCTTGATATCTTCACTGCAGCTCTTACAGTATAAACAGGATGATAATACTTGTTATGTTGACAGAGCCTTTCATTTTAGCAAAGCACTGGTAGTGGGCACTGTGTTAGTGATGGAGCAGGCAGGTCCAGAAGGCTGGGGTTTTTTTTGAAAGGTTTTTATACCAAGAACCTCATGAAAGCACTTTATTTAACATTTACCTTTTTGTTGTTTTTTTTAGGATCAGGATCCAAGCTGTCAATGAAATTGGAGCTGGACCATTTAGCCACTTTATTAAAGCAAAAACCAGGCCATTACCACCCTTACCTCCTCGGTTAGAGTGTGCTGCAGCAGGTCCTCAGAGCCTGAAGCTGAAATGGGGTGACAGCAGTTCCAAGCTTCATGCTACTGATGATACGGTCTATATCTTGCAGATAGAAGACAGAAATAAAAGGTAAGATATTTGAATCTTTTCCTTGTGTTAATGAAAATGAATTCTGCTTCGTTGTACTGCAGTTGTGAATCACGGTAAAAAAAAAATGTTGTTTTCCTGATTACTTCATACCTACAAATATATAGAAAATATTATTTTAATAGTGATTCCGTGCCTGTAGTCTAACTGACCAAATTATGTACCAAGGTTTAAAAGTTACTCTAGAACAACCCAAATCAGTACTGCACTGTTGAAATTTTGGCAAAACCCTGGCCCCTCTGCCAATAAAAGTTAATATCAAGTTTCACAGTCACAGTGCTTTTACTCTTTGGAATATACAAAACAAAGATATTGCACCCAATGTGCTGTGTGTATTAATAAAACAAATGGTTACAAAATCAGAGGTCTAGGAAAGGCAAAACTGAGCAGAACAAGTGGTTTTGGGCAACATGATGGTCAGGATTTTACAGCTGTAATATCTTTGAGCATTAGAAAATGTGAGCTTGGCATCAGCTTGGTAGCTACACAACAATTATGAAATAAGGATGCAGAAGAGTTCATCAGTTTTACTTCCCTAAAATTATCATTAAAGCCATGAGAGCTTTTGGTGTCCGAGAAACACAAAAATTAACATTAAGCAGTCAGTGCTCAGCAAAAAGGATTTTCCCTTGCAAACTTTGTATGGGAAGATGTAATAATGTAGCACCAAAGTTGTGATGAGACATCTTCAATAAGGAAAGAAAGACAATATGTGAGTATTGCCTAACGGTCTGAGCTCTTCAATGAATAAATATCATAAATGGCTCATAATTTACTAAGAAACACTCTCAACTAGTTTAATTAGGTAAAATAACTGACGTATCAAGTAGATAATCCTTAGAGACATCCAGTACAGATCATAATTTGGTGTAAATTAGCATGATTCCTTTAATTTAAATAGAGCTGTGCTGAGTTGATGCCAGCTGAAGATCTGGCCCAAAAGCTCTAATTGTAAGTAATAAAACCAGCATGAATAATGCCTAAATACCTCTCAGTATCTCAACTGTACTGATGCAGGGAGGGTACATACTCCCCTCTATTAATACTGAGAAGTGTCCAATGAATATAAATGCCTATTTGAAAGTCTGACTGATAAAAACAGTTTCTTCAGAGTGCAATGATGCTTGGCAGGAGTCCATCACCTGCAGCAGCGTGTGATCAAGTCAGCTCTAAAGAAACATCCAGCAGGCTTCTTTTGTTTGCTTTCATGTGGCACTGCAGGTAGGATGGTGAAGAACTGTAAATTTCTTTAAACCTGTTTTTATGTTGGAGAAAATAATAAGCTTCCTTGTTTACGTTACCTGGCAGCAGAGAAGGGGAGCTTTTTCCCCTTTGGTTTTGCACAAGGCTTTAGCATCATCCTTTGCTTTTTGCACAAACTTTTCCCACTGCAAATGGTCTCTTAAGAGCTGTTAATTAAGAGGAATTTAAACTTGTTACTCCACTAGCTCGTGTTAGCTTTAAATTTCGCTTATAGGCCACGTGAGCTCCCAGAAATGAAGAGTCACTACTCATCTACATTGCACTGTCTTCTCCCACTTGAACGGAGTTGTAGTGGTTTAACCCCAGCCAGCAAACGAGCACCACGCAGCCACTCGCTCGCTCCCACTGGTTGGGATGGGGGAGAGAACTGGAAAAGTAAAAGTGAGAAAACTCACAGGTTGAGATAAAGACAGTTTAACAGCTAAAGCAAAAGCAAAACAAGGAATTAATTGATTACATCCCATTGGCAGGCAGGTGCTCAGCCATCTCCAGGAAAGCAGGACTCCCATGCATAATGGTGACGTGGGAAGACAAACAGCATCACTCTGAATATCCCCCTCTTCCTTCTTCTTCCCCCAGCTTTATATGCTGAGCATGATATTATATGGTATGGCATATCCCTTTAGTCAGTTGGGGTCAGCTCTCTCAGCTGTGTCCCCTCCCAACTTCTTGTGCACCCCCAGCCTATTTGCTGTGGTGGGGTGGTTGGTATGAGTAGCAGAAGAGGCCTTGACTCTGTCACACAAGCACTGCTCAGCAACAACGAAAACATCTCTGCATTGTCAACATTCTTTTTAGCACAAATCCAAAACACATATGAAGAAAATTAACAATACTATGAAGAAAATTAACTCTATCCCAACCAAAACCAACACAGGAGTTCTTGCATGAAATGGCTTCCTTTGGTGCTTGGGTTTGTAATAATTAGTTCAGATAATACCTGAAATGAGCCCTGAGCCCTCTGGCTGATGAAGCAGACCAGCATGGATGCAGCTGAGGAGTCGAATGGATGCACTGTGGTCTGTGCTGGCTGCTGTGTTTGAGAACAGTTAGAGGTGGCAGGTCTTGGCAATAAGATCTATTTGTTTGTTCCCTGTCTGACAGTCCCTTTTTGCTCCCTGTTCTGTACATCAATCACAATGAGAGATGTTCCTGAAAGGATATAGCAGTGAAGTTCTGTACATTCAGGAGAGCTATCATTCTTAATGAACAGACAGCCCACACATGGATTGGTAGAAACAGCAGTTAGTGACAGAGGTAGGAGTCCTCTCTTAGATCATTCCCATAAAATAAACCCCATAATGACTGAGGGGTTACTCACTCGTCTGTATGCTTGTGAAAAATACTGAAATATGGTTCTTTGAGCATCACTGGCCTCTTTAATTGTGCCATGCTTTAACAGGCTGCTGCAGGTAAACTGTGGACATCTAATGGAATAACTAAATAGAATAGAATAGAATATTTCAGTTGGAAGGAACCTACAGTGACCATCTAGTCCAACTGCCTGACCAATTCGGGGCTGACCAAAAGCTAAAGCATGTTATTAAGACCATTGTCCAAATGTCTCTTAAACACTGTCAGGCTTGGGCTATCAACCACTTCTTTAGGAAGCCAGTCTCTGATGAAAAAATGACACGGAATAAATTATCTAGAAGGATGTTTTGGAGTCTTTCATGGTTTGAAAGGGTTGTAGAAAGGTTCAGTGGTGTCCCCTCTGTTGAGAGAAGAGATGGCCCTTGACTTGGGGGAAGAGGCTGTGGCATAAACGTGGAGAACTCAAAATTGACCTCTGTTGTATCTTTAGTCTTTTCAGAAGATATTGTTACTGTATTCCCTGAGACATCTGAAATTACTTTTAACGGCTTTATATTGAAATCCCTCAACTCAGTATTAAAATTTTCCTTTCTTCAGTGAATCTGAGTGTGCAGTTTGCTTACTGTATCATTGCTTATTGATGGGGTTTAAAATAGGAGTTAGCTTTAAAATGCTGTTGAAGCATTTTCACAAACAAAAATATAAAGATGAGGAAATACTTTCAAAAAACATAAAATCCTCAGTAGGGCAAATTCTGACCCTGATAGCTTTAATGGCCTTTTCGTAAAGACTCAGCTCTGGTTTGATGCAGTGATAGTCAGCCAGTGCTCTTGACTTTGTCCTGGTCATTAAGAATTGTTTTTAACTTTTCCATGCTGTAATGAGGTAAAACAGGCCAGTTGTTGGAGACTAAATGTTTCATTGATTGCAAGACCTGTGAAACAAAATACTTGGAAATCTCCTGACACTGATTGATGGTAGGGGTTTGAAAAGGTGTGCACATCAGAAATGTACCTGCTTTAGCTCTCGTTTGCTCTTCAGTGTGTGACATTTGGGAAGATCAAATTAGCATCTCTTGTCCTTTCAATTATGTGTAGCATTAAGTGGAAATGAAGAAAAATCTGTTTCTAGAAAGCACAGTACATGGGAACGTTAGTTGAGAGTAGTTGACCTTTACGTAGAGGGGACTATAAAATTTCTTTCTTCTTTAAATAAACTATCAGTTATGACTTCATTTCCTAGCTCTAGTAATGTCAAGAAAATCATGTTTATCAAGTTTCACTATTTTCCAGAATACTGTGGATTTTGTCCTCTCCAAGTGAAATAAATGAACCTAATTAGTAATGCTTTTGATTTTTTTTCTTCTACTGCTAATTAGTCTTCAGTTGTTCCTACAACTAATTATACCTCTTAGTGTCTTAAAATGCTTACAATATCCAGTCTGAAAGAGAGAATTAGCAAATACATTATTAGTGGGTCATTAATCAGTTGCTTGTGTTTCTTTTAGATTAATATATGTTGCAGTTGAGATGAATTGTCTGATTTTTGTGTGTGTGCAGAATCCAAATAAAAATATATAGAATTGTATTTTAAGGGAGACTCATTGGTAAGGTTGGCTAAGAAGCAACATAAACGTATTCTTTAAAAATATCAATGAAGGATCGTTGGCAACTCTTAATAGGTCTGCTTTTGTAGGTGAATTGTAAGAGATGATGTTTCCTGGCATTCTAAACTGTAATTGCCGTGGTTATTTACTTGAATAAATGAGTTATGACCCCGTATCACTGGGTAAGCAGTAGTAGTAGCTCCCTTTCATATCATACAAAAGATTATTTATGTGGATATTAAACTGTTTTACAATACTTTGCTAAACTTTTATGTGCTTGCCATTTAAGGAGATGCTATTCTTCAATATAAATGAAAAATTGATCACAAAATAGAACTTGCCTAATGACTATAAATATTAATTGGGCCCAGTCATTGTGCACGCACTGGTTTTTCTGTTTAGGATATGAATGTCCCAAAGGCCATAGCCGTACATCGATGTAGTCCTGGAAGCTTCTAGCAACTCCGAGGAAGGAATAACAAATAACACAACCAAATGATGTAATCCCTTGAATTGATTTCTTCTACTTGGAAGCTTTTACCTTAACTTGAACATTTATTTTGGGAGGCATCACCCCTCACTTTCCTCCTCGTCCCAGGAGTGCCTGTTACCACAGTGCAGGCAGCAGAGGACATCAGAGCTGTGAGCTTGGTAGACTCTCAGTTGCCTTTCAGTGGCTTGGGTTGTCTGTCCTCACTCTTTTGGTAGGTTGTGAGTAGAGCCTTTAGAACCCGAGTGTGAGCAGGGGAGACACACAAGATTTTCCCCATATCAAAGGGAGATTGATTGTCCCATCCAT